CATTTCCCAGGTTGAAACAAGCCTCATACATTTCTGCACTGAATTATTGCATCTCCCGTCTCATAATTTCCACCAGCTTTACTGATTTTTCAGCTTATAAAGGAAGATTACAAGGCTAATGACTGGAAGGGTAATTCCTTGCAGCAGAGTGTTACCACTGACAGAAAGACATAAATAAAAACAAACACCAATCTTTTTTTCCTCTTTGCAGTGGTCTAAATATCGACATTTGTCCAATTAATGCTGAGCTAATATGACTATGTGGATAACGGAAGTAATAGAAGAGGTACTGTTTCCCTTTGACCTTGCCCCTTTATTTAGTCCTTCTAACATAGGTTGAGGAAGGTGGGTTTGTTTTTTTTTTTTAAAAAAAGATTGTTATGCCTTTTTAAAAATAGCAGAAATCTTATTGATGACAGAGACATAATGATAAATCAAGAGCATCAATTTTGGCAGGAGTGGATCCATCTTCCCATACATATTAGTGCAACATACTGGATTATTGTACATTCAGCAGACGATGTTCATGAAGAAGGTTTTTGCATCAAAACGGATCAAACTTTATGGGAAATCCGTAGAGTACTGAGCACTGCTCAGATATTTCTGCACTGAATTACTGATAGCTCGATGATCCGATATTGTAGAGGATATACATAATCCTATATTATGATCCTATATTAGATAGGATATGTAACTGATAGTGAGCTACTTCTTGCTTCAATCCGCTTTTCAGTGGACTTGGGCATTTGTCTCGTTTCACTTTACTGGCACCCGATATCTACTGCCCAAGGAGGCCACTTGACTACATTACGTTTATTTATTTATTTATTTAACATATCCCACCCTCCCCTGCAAGCAGGCTCAGGGTGGGTCACAACACAGCTATAAACATTAAAACAACTTCTTAGAACCATAATAATAAAAATCCTGAGTAAAAGACAGATGGTAGGCCAGCAATAATCAATCGTGCAGCTTGTGCTGAAGATCAGGCGGGCCCAAATATGACACACAGTTCCATTACAATTGACGGTGACGACTCCTGTCTGCACCATAAGGTGATTTGAGGGCAGTTTGGGCAGGAGGGGCCTAAATGAATGGACACCCGCCAGTTAGCCGAAAGCCTGGCGGAACAGCTCCGTTTTACAGGTCCTACGGAACTGTAATAAATCCCGCAGGACCCTGATCTCAGTTGGGAGCAGGGCTATTTTTGGGCAGGAGCGCACAGGAACGGAGTTCCGGCTGGCTCCTGAGTTGGCCACACCCAGCAGGAACTCATTAGCATAATAGGCCACACCCAACAGCAGAAACTCATTAGGATTGGCTACATTAGAGGTGTGTGGCCTAACATGCAAAGAAGTTCCTGCTACAAAAAAAGCCCTGGGTTTTGACCACAAACAAGGTAAACAGAATAAGCAGCAAAAGGTGGGTGTGGCTGGATGACCACACTTCTGGTAACATGGGGGTGCGGCCTAATATGCTAATGAACTGTGCTGTCAGGGGTGTGGCCTAATATGCTAATGAGTTTCTGCAGTTGGGTGT